ACAAGCTCTAGCTTGACACCACAACCTCCCTCCACACGTCTCATCTCATGCCAAATTTGGTCAAGTCATACCCTGCTATACCAGCTCTTCTAAATTTTGTTGTTTGGTTCAGTCTCAAATAACCCATGCATGTGTTGAGCAAAAAGGTTTGTTTTTTTGCATATAAAATGGGTTTTTTTAAGACCAAATTCAACCATATTTCCATCATATAGCCTTTTTTAAAAGAAAATAAACCATATTGCAAACACGCACTCGATCAACTTTATTACAACATTATAAAGTACCATATTGCCTCGTCAGTCGTCACACCTTCATCTAGTTACAGATAAACTATCATCCAAGCTAAAACCATCACAAAGAAGTGGAGAAAAAACATGTGCATCAGTCTAAATCCTCCTGTGTTTCCCGGTGCAACATTTTGATTGTTGCACGCTAAGAGAAGTAGTACTGTTGTTACTACTGCTTGCGCGTGCATAATAATGTTGTCTGTTCTGTAGGAGCCGTCTTATTTTCTTCAGAGCTTCTTTGCGAGGCATTGTGTACAGTGGGCTCATCACATAAACAGAGTGTTTACATGGATTCGCATACATATAGAAGAAACCAGTGTTTTTTTTCGAAAGGATGGCAAAAGCTTTGCCGCGATTTCTATTAGACGATGAAAGAAAAAGAAGGCAAATGCCTACCCAGTTTTTTGAGCGGAAACTGGATCGAAAAACCATACAACTCAGGAGAGTGCCCCACTCGTCCTAGCAACTTTGGTACACCAACTGGACAACTATCACAACTCACACCACTACTTCATCCAACTTGGTCAGAACGACTCAACTAAACAACTCAACTATCAACTAACAGGGACCGAAGAAGACGACGTCCTGCCGAGCGACACCAAACGGCAAGGATCAATCGCGAAACTGGAATGCCTAGCCATGCCCCCAAGGAGGAAACGACGCTAAAAGCGCCGACATGGTAGCCCGCCAAGGAGGGTTTTCACCTGCACCATCCAGTACGGTAGGAGAAGAGGTAGGAAAGGACGTCTTCAAGAAGGAAACGACGTTAGCAGACGTCGCCGTCCACGCTTTCGCCCCCACCTCAAACCACCTCCACACCGTCGCCGCCAGAGGCCCAACCCTACCAGGAGGCAGGGTGCGGCGCCTAGACGCCGCCCCTAGGGACGCCGACTAGGAGAAGCGTCAGGGGAACCCGCCGTAGAGTCCGCCCCCACTGCAACCGGCAATGCCGGCCAACAGCAGGCAGAACCGGCCAGCTCCACCATGAAAACCAGCCCGGGGAAGGGGAAAGGCAGATGGCAGGGAGAAGAGGGCCGGGATCAGAAGAAGCCCCAGTCGCCCAACCCACCAACGTCCCCACCCCCTGCCGAGCCGGCCCCGCAACAACCACGCCGCGCAACGCCTCCAGCAGCCTCCGCGCCGAACTGCCGCCGTCACGGTGCCACCGGCGCCCCTGCTTGGCTACTGCCAGCCAAACCACCACGACATCACTGGCATACATCCAAGCAAGCTGCTGTCGGCCACGCCACCACTGTAGAGCCGACGCGCCTCTGCCGCCCGGCCGTACTGGGAGAACACCATGACAACGCCTCTAAGGAGGAAAACGGCGCCCGAAGGCGTCGCCGTCGGCTTGCCAGCAGATCCGACATGGCTTTCGCCGGTGTTGCCCACGTCCAGCACAAACGAAACAGGGAGCCTTGAAGACACGCCGCCCCAACCCTCAGCACCGGCGAGATCCGGCCGGATCCGTATGGGCGGCAGCCGCTGCAGCTGCGGGATGGCCGGATTTGGAGGAAGGGGAGCCGGAGCCTTGTCTAGACGGTCGGGTAGCGTGGGCCCACCAGATCCGCCCTAGCCAGGCGGCCACCTCGCAGACCCGCCAGGGATGACGCGGGGGACCCAACGCCGGTGGAGGCCGCTGGCACGACCGGGAGAGCCGCTGGCCTAGCCCCCTGGAAGAGCACGCCGAGGAGCCCCGCGGGAGAGCAGATCCGGGCAGGTGAGAGCCGATCCGGACTAGGGAGAGCGCCGGCCAAGGCCCACCGGAGCCCCGAACCAGAGCGCGCCCCACCAAGACCGGCCGCTCCCGCTCGAAATCGACAGGAGAGGAGAGAGCCAGAGGCCCGCCGGAGGAGGCCAGAGCCGGATCTAGCCGGCGGGAACTCAGATTCACCCGCAGAGAGGCAGGATCCGAGCCGCCAGCCACCACCAAGAGAAGCACGACGACGGCACAGGATCTCCATCGGGAAAGGGAGAGGGAGAGGGAGGAAGGAGAGAAACACCCGGCCGCCGCCGTCCTTGTCCTCCACCGGAACTCCGGCGTCGAGCTCCGGCGGCGGCCGAGCCGGGGAGATCGGAGGGAGGGGCCCGGAGGCGAGTGCGACGGCGCCGCCCGAGTCGCCCTTAGGGAGAGCGACGCGGGGCCAAAGGCAGTTTCACATCGATAGCACATTTATCAAGCAAGAAAGAAACCAGTGTTTAAGCGACGATCTTTGTATCTTTGAAGAGCACGGCGAAGAAACTCAAATGATGCCTGAATGCTTTCTCGATGCTCTTTGTAGGCTGCCCAGCTGAGGAGGCCCTTTCTCTTCAACAGAACATAATGATCTGTGATCTTTCTTGTTTCTACGCGAAACATTAGTTCACGGTGTAAGTTTGTGAGACTTTGGCCATAACCCTCTTCTTCATGTCTGCAGTGCCATATTCATTACGGAGGCACAGTCTAAATCCTTGTGGTGCAGCAAGAAACCGGAATTTTCCTAGCTTTTGTGTTTTCCTGCATCCATTGGATAACTATATGTTAATAATAACGCGTCATCAATAAATAAAATAAAGAGTTAAATGCATCAGCGGTCCATCAATTTGCACTCTAGTTTCACTTAGATCCATCAACTCTGAAAGTGAGTTTTTGGGTCCATAATTTTGGTTAGTGATGCGTTCCTTGCCCATACCTGATCAGGGACCTGGTGCCGAAGAAGGTCGCAGGTTCATCCCGCTGCCGATGGCCATGGCGATCCCGTTCTACATCGGGTCCTACTTCGCCATCGACATGTTCGTCGGCACCGTGATCCTCTTCGCGTGGCAGATGATCAACAGGGCCAAAGCCGACTCCTTCGGACCTGCGGTTGCGTCAAGGCTGATCTGCGGCGATGGCATCTGGACCCTGCCGCAGTCCATTCTTGCGCTCGCCAAGGTGAAGCCGCCGATCTGCATGAAGTTCCTGTCCAGGTCGGTGAACGCCCAAGTGGACGGCTTCCTCGGAAATTAAGCTGTGAAAATTACGATCTGTCAGCAGTCAGCATGAATCACAAGTGTATGTTGTGTTGATGCACCATGCTGTAAAATGTACCGGGACGGGTAAATGTTGTTTCGTCACGATCTGCTTTTGCTGTACATGAGTAAGTACACTAGTCGTATCGTATACGCGTCAGCATTATGGTACCAACACCCAACAGCTGTATGCCTGTATCTGTATGTTACCAGCGCCAGCCCAGTGCCCACTAGAATTCCGGAGCCTGATCGTGACGCAACTGGATTCCAACTGCCTTCCAATAAATACGCCGATTACCAAGCATCAACCGAGCCATCACGAACCATTAGACAACCACCATGGCGACTTCCGGCGACCCTGCCGCCCACGCCTTGGAGTCAGGCGCCAGCCTGCGCGCGGCGACGCCACGCCGGCGGGCTTGCGGGCGCGGACGACGACGACGACGACGACGGGGGCGGCAATGCCGAGGAGGTGGTGGTGGCCTCGGTGGAGCAGGCGTTCGCGGACAAGCCCGTGCCGTCGTGGCGGGAGCAGCTGACGGTGCGCCCCTTCGTGGTGGGGTTCATCCTCGCCATCTTGTTCAGCGTCATCGTAATGAAGCTGAATCTCACCACCGGCGTCATCCCCTCGCTCAACGTCTCCGCCAGCCTTCTCGGCTTCTTCCTCGTCCGGGCTTGCTGAAGCAGCCCTTTACGCGACAGGACAACACCGTCATCCAGACCTGCGTCGTCTCCGCCTATGGCCTCGCCTTTAGTGGTAAAACCCCCCCGAACCATTCTGGCGCCAAAAATCCCGCCAAATCCAATCTGGACGCACAACCACACCGGTTAAAAAATTGAAACAAAAGGTATGGGTTAGATAACAAAGATTATGAACCTAAAAACACACTTTCAGAGTTGATGGACCTAAGTGAAACTAGAGCGTGCATTTAACTGTAAAATAAACCAGTAAGAATTGACAGAGATGAGCGATTAATAATGCGAATAAATTAATAAATCAGTAAGAATAGACGGAGAGGAGCTCCAGATTTATATAGTACGTATACGAGTCTAAATTAATAAAGAAGTCGAAAAAAGAACACTGATTCATCAGAGCAAGTAAGGGCCAAGAGCAATGAACAGCCTTCTAAACCAAGTGTAGTTGAAATATTGTCGTAGTCTTTCTTAGCTTGGCATTCATTCAGATGTCAAAAAAGCTCATGCAGATTTCGCAACGTAATTGAGCTTCATATATACTCTACTCCGTAGAGAATATAGAGTATAACAATTCTTTTTATTAAGTGGATCGTATTGAAGCAAATGTAGTGGAGTTCAGTTTGGAAGATTATGCAGGCGGAGCTAGCTAGGAGGCTAGTCGTCGACGAAAGGCAAAAACGACGACGGGCGCTCCCTCCTCTCCTCTTCGATCCGGCGTTCATTAGGACTAGTCCATCACGCGCGCCGGCAAATCACCTGGTTAAGACGTAGGTGAAAAATATGTTTAATCTTTGCATGGAAACAATATTAGGAGTCAAATGTAGCTATGTCAGGTAGAAAAAACGAAAGATTGGAGCACAATAATTAGCATACCTTAAGCCGCGCCATACTTCACATTCAGATAATCTGTGGTAGTAGGCAACGAGGCAAGAGTTGTTCAAGAAATCTGATACCTCTCACATTCAGTTGAATGACAGCATTGTCTAACTTAAAGCAGTTTGAACAGCACCTTAAGCCCTACTGTCATCATGTTTCATCACTCAAAAGATCATAAGCTCGGATCCGGTAGGTGTAGTTGTCACTGGCATATTCAAACATACATGTCAGAATCATATTACATTTATCAATCTAACATGGATCGCATCTTCTCACTCTGCATCCTCTATCTCTGCATCCTCTGGAACAGCTAGGAGATATAGAACGTTGTTGCACCTGTATGTAGATGTAGAAACATAAAACTGAATCATACAGGGGCCAAATGATTATGCAATGCAACATGGCCTAGTTTGATCAGATACTATCGACCGAAGATCCAGTTCACACCAATTTAAGTTTTGAAGAAGCCCTACCCTTCCTTAACATGTAACTTGATCAACACTAGCATAGTACTTTTCAAGTATCGGAAGTTGGAATAGGGCAGCAGGATGACAAGATGTATGCAAGCTTTTCCCAGTTCTATATCAAGATTTATCACAAAACACTACTACTTGACATAAGCTAGAAAGAAAGGAACAAGAAACATTACCTGATTAGAATCTCTCCCAGGTTTCCAGAGAATTGCCCATCAATGTACTCCTCAGTGTTGGCAAGCTGCAGACAGTAGGGAAAAAAGGCGGCAATGAATTTTGTATGTCATTTAGACCCAATTGATGATTAGCTATTCATCAAAAAAGTATTCAATACACGACCACTCTAATAGTATGACAACCAAACTGTGAAATTAGTACCTGGAGATTCATATAGGAGTCCACCGAAGCAAGATAACCTGGTAATGTATAATAAAAGTTTTTCAGTTTGATTAAGAGCAGGGGCAGTATCTGAAAACTAAAATGTTCCGGTTCAAACTGAATATAAAAAGGAGATATTACCTCTGTACTCCATACCCCACTTGAGTTTGACAATAATAGGGTTCCCTGTCAGGTTGTTTAGGAAAGGTTTTGGGTTAACTGGCACAGTCTGCACAAAACGAGAGTTGATTAGTGAGTACGTATACCATAAGATCTTTCTTTATTATAGCTAGCAAACATAAATAACAAGACTCTCATTCTTTGGATTTCCGTAGTTCATTATTACTAAGCCCATTGGTCCACTAGATGATAGATTTCTGCCATTAATTGGAAGCTAGGCATTTACAACAGTCTGATGCGTAAAGAATATCACAAAAATATGGCATGCATGACATGATGCACCCAGTGGCTCAACATTTAACTGAAAAAATAGACCAATAATATAGTACATATTAAGCATCATGGCAAAAATGTATAAACAGGTCAACATTTTAAATCTCATTATCGAAGTCACCTTGGAAGGAGACAGTGAGACACTCATCCATTTATCTAGTCAAGTATATTACTGTTAATAAAATTTAATATAATTGTTTCATAATGCAGAAGAGCATGCTACTTTCCTGCTACAAACCTGAGGTATAAAAGGTACTCTATCTGTAGACAAATATATCAGTGAGAAAACTATTCTATAAAGCAACTCAAACATCTAGATAAATGCTGATTTATAGTCTCGGCACAGCCGTAAACAGAAAGACAACTTGAGAGGTAGTTGTACATGTATCTCTGAAGCCAGAACATAGCAACATGTACCATTTGAGTACCAATTCAAATTTGAGGTTCATCGAATTAAGACACGAATGTATGAAATCAAATGTTTAAGACTATGTGTGCTCTTAGGAGGCTTAGAGCCTGCTTGGCGGCTGGAACTGTGCCACCCTGAGCTCACGACAACCGCAGCCGAAGTGTAGATGTAAGTCTCTAGACAACCAAATATAGACTGCTGGTTAGACTCAACAAACCCGGAATATGAAACCAAATTACCTGCGCACTCAATGGTTCAAAGTTCGGGTGGTCGGCTGAAATTGCCGAGTGGCCATATAGACTCCTAAAAAACTGGAAAGCAAAGATTTTGGATGTCTCCAACATCCTTTCCTAAGTGAACTGTAAGCAACTCTAATTAATAGTGATTGAGGGGAGGAGGGCTGGGCATGGAGTGCAGTTTTCACCAGCTATTGTAGCCCTTACATTTAACACTATACTAAATAACTAGGTCTCTTCTCCCACTTCCTGTCGTCGCCATTTGGTTCCACTATGTTTGCAAGGCCAGTTTGAACCAGCGTTTGTGAAGTTCCCCTTGCAAGTAAGACAGGAAATTAGCTCACTAATTTGTCACACGCCATATAAAAAGAAACAGCCGGAGTACTAAATAGTAGAGTAAGTTTGTCAAACTGACCTCTGCAGACAACTAGAAAGTGACGGACGGAGTCAATCGCTCCTCCAAAAGAGCAGAAACTACGCCATTGGTATCCAGTTTCCCCCTCAATCGACACTGCAAATTCGATAATCAATATATTTTCACTTAATATCCATGTGACCTCACCTAACTTGAATACCGTAAGGCCATAGAACAATATAAGTTGTTAGCCAAAAAGACCCACTTGATATTCATGTGACATAACCCAACTCATGAAAAATGGAGACCCTCAAGTGTTTTAGCTAACACGTGCATTACAATAACAACTTGAAGCATGAAAAAAATAACAAATGGGTGAAACTAACAAGGATACCTATCTCAGCATATAATCATAACCAAAGGTTGCTGTTACATCTTTTGTCATTTGACTGTACATGAAATCAGATGCAAGGGAAACCTGCACACAATTGCTTATGTAGCGAAGCTGTTATAAAAGCGGAAAAAGATGTAAGCATTAAATACGACGTGAAAAACACTCACCTTTTCAGATACTTTGTGTACATAACTAAGCGCAACCATTCCAGTGGTTGCAATTTGGGCAGTCGTAACCTGCACATATACGAGATACAGCTTCATCAGATACAGCTAAAAATATTTTATTTCCCCACCTTAATATATATATCAAACTATCCAATGCCTCTGCCAATTGTGCGTTTCCAAGATGAGTTGCGAGGCTCTTGTTACAGAAGTCTAAAAAAGATGCTAAACACAAGCAAGAAACCTAATTTATCAGTGTTAGTATTGATCTCCCACCAGTTAGGCCCAACGGCCTAACTGGGCCTTGTCCTCACACCCTGATCGGGGGCGCCCAACCCTACATGGTTGGTGGGCCCCCGTCGCACAGCGCTATAAAGGAAGGTGGGGGCCGGGGCTCGCTACACGAGGTTCACCGCGCCGCCAGTCACCCCACCGACATCCTAAACCCTAGACCCGATCGAAAGTAGGGGCGCTGCCAGCGACGGGAAGTGCCACTGACGCCGGCAACGCCACCCGACGTTCACATCGCCGCCGAGGACGCCACAGCGCCGACTCACTCTCCATCGACCGTCGCTGCCGGCGCGCAGATGGCGTCCGTCAACGAAACCCCGGCCGGAGCTTCAACAACTACGGCGTTTGACGGTTTGCTACTTATCACCTATCTCTCAATCTCTCTCATGAAATCCGATTGATCTATTATCGTGCTAAGAAAACCGATCCGATGAACATACCTAAGAACAGAATCTAACAATGGCATCGGAGCCAGGTTTCGACAAGAAATCAAACCAATACGATGCGGATCGGGAAAGAAAACAGAAAAACCGAACTAAGACCTAACCCTAGAAAGAAACCCATCACTAATCGGTTCAATCCGAGAAGAAAGAAAAGGAACCCTACCATCTAGATCTCGAATCACACAAAAGGTAAACACGGATCGGGAAATCGGGTTCAACCAACCCTAACCCTAGATCCCTTTTTCGGTGAACGAGTGAGAAGAAAAGAAAGAAGAAAGAAATCAAATCCGAAAGGGGAAGGGGAAAAGAACAAGAGGCGGCACACTGAAACCCTAACCCTAATCCCATTCGGATGAACAAGCCAAAAGAACACAGTAAAAACCCCATTCCCAAACCCTAACCCTAATTCCCGTCGCGGCCGAATGGGGAAGAAAGGGGACGGGAAGAACGAGAAAAAAAAGAACACGCCGTTCGTCGGGATAAACTACCACCGCGGAAGAAGAAGAAGAAGAAGCGCACCGGTTTTTTTCGCGGCTACCGAGAAGAAACCGAGCCGATCGCGCCTGGCTCGCCAAGAAAGCGCCGGGCTCGGCCAAGAAAGCGCCGCGGCTAGGCCGCTCGACGGCGGCGTGCTCACCCGTTGGGGAGCACGCACGGCGCCGCGAGGGGGCAACAACGGCGCCCAAAGCTCGCTCCGGTTTTCCTCGCTCGCGGCTGCTCGGCGGTGACCGTCTCCGCTGCGGCTGAGAAGAGGCAAGCAGCGAGGAGAGAGAGAGGGGAAGAGCCGAAATGGCTAGGGTTTTCCAGGGCACCGGCCGCGGCCTGGTTTTTGATCCACGCGAAACGGTCGCTCGTCCGTCGGATCAGATCGAACGCCAGAGATGCGCTGGGCCAAGTCGAGGCCCAGTGTATGCGAGGGCGCTGGCGCGCGGTTTGGTTCGACCCAGCCCAGTTGCGGCTGGTTTCGCCTGGCTAAACGCTACGGACGCTGGGTCGAGCCGTTCAACAAGCGTTTTGGGCCAATTGGGGTGAAAAAAAATGAAAGAAGAACAAGAAATTTTTTTTCTTATTATTTTCCAGAAACAATTTTGAATGCATATTTTGATGAATTTGAATGATTTTGATACAATTTTCTGTGCAAATTTTATCCAATGATATTTTGCCCAGAAAACAATGAATTTTTAGTGCTTCTGGAAAATAATAACATGAAAAGATTATTAATGTTTCCGCTGTGCATGATAATTATTGTTCTCTTTGATTAAATTTGAACCAACGGGATAATTTAATTTTAAGAGAAATGAATTTCTGATAATTTTGATGCAATTATGATATTGTTATTTTCTGACCAACGTTGTTAATAACAAATATTATAATTTTTGATCCATGAGAAATTGTGCATTAATTTTACTTCTGCCCAACGGTGATGTAAAATATTTTGCATGGATGAATTATAAATTTTAATTTGACCAACGTTGAGTTAAAAGCATGAATTTTATGTATAAATGTTTCTTACTTACTCTGGTGTGATTTCAGGAGGCAAATGCATTGTGAACATTGCCAACATCTCGACACTCAACGGAACCAATCACCGTGTGTGGCGGGAGAAATATGAATTGGAACTTGCGTTGGGAGAGGTCGATTTTGCCATCACCTCACCGTGTCCTACTGAGCCAGAGGACCCGATGAGAGGTGACAATGAATCTGACGCTGATTTCGCTTCTCGAAAGCGTGATCATGCTGAAATAAGAATGAAATATGACCTTGAACATAGGCAATGGACTCTCTCCAACCGCAAGTGCCTGTTGGTAGCCAAAGCCACCATAGAAGAACAGATAAGGGGCTCAATCCCTGAATGTGCTACTGCTAAAGAATATCTTGAGAAAATCAAGAGTCAGTTTACTAGGTCTACCAAGGCCACAGCAAGTTCACTGATTAAGAAGCTTGTGAATGAGAAATTCACTGGTGGTAGCATAAGAGAGCACATTTTGAAGATGAACACTACGGCATCTAAGCTAAAAGAAATGAATTTGAAGGAGGAGGATTTCCTAATTCATTTGATTTTTGCTTCTTTACCGAAAGAATATGACACCTTCATTGTGAACTATAATATGCAGCCTGAAAGATGGGGCATAGAAAGACTCATCTCAATGTGTGCTCAAGAAGAGGAGAGGATAAAGTCCTCACAAGGTGAATCTGCTCATTTTGTGAAGGACAACAAAAGAAAAAACTTTAATGGCAAGAATTCTAAACCACAAGGGAAACCTAAGTGGGATAAGTCCTCTTTCTCCAGTTCACAGGGAAAGAAACCCCAGGATTCTGAGAATCAGCAGTATGGTGGAGCTGAAAAAGATCAGTGCAAGCACTACTTTAAGAAGGGACACTACAAGAGGGATTGTCCAGACTTCCTGAAATCTCTGCTAAAGAAAGGTGATGAATTTATTATATTTGTAGATGAATCTCTGTATTTATGTTATGATAAATCCACTTGGTGGGTTGATTCAGGAGCAACTACTCATGTTGCAAATTCTTTACAGGGGTTAAGTGGGACGAGAACCTTGCAAAGAGGAGAAAGAACGATTAAAGTTGCAAATGGACTGCAAGCCAATGTTGAAGCCATTGGAGATTTTTCTTTAGAATTGAATAATGGTTTTGTACTTAGACTTAAAGAAGTACTTTATGTTCCCTCCTTGCGTAGAAATTTGATAAGTGTTTCGAAACTTGATGATGATGGAATTGATTGCCATTTTGGTGATGGCAAGTGTAAGATACTGGTTAATAATAAATGTGTTGGTCTTGCCTTCCGAGAAGACAAGCTTTATTTATTATCTCTTGCTGAGAATGCGAACAATATATGTGATGAGAATATGAATGATTCCCCATCTACGGATGTAACTAAGAAGCGGAAGAGAATTGATCTCGCCTCTTGAAATTATGGCATTGTCGCTTGGGCCATATTTCGAGGGGAGAATGGAACGATTGGTTAAGGAATCAATTCTCCGCACTTAGAATTTTCAGATTTAGAGCAATGTATTGATTGCATCAAAGGAAAGTATGTCAAGAAAATTAAGAAAGATGCCAAACGAAGCACGTGAATTTTAGAAATAATCCACACGATATATGTGGTCCTTTTCCGTGAAAAGTGTGGATGGTTATGACTCGTTTATAACATTCACAGACGACTACTCTCGTTATGGCAATATTTATCCAATTAAAGAAAGATCGGAAGCATTGGATAAATTCAAAATATTTAAAGTCAAGTTGAAAACCAAAGACAATAAGAAAATAAAGATAGTACGATCGGGCCAGGTGGAGAGAGTACTATGGGCTACACACCCTATATGGCCAAATTCTGGACCATTTGCAAGGTTCCTACTGAGAAAATGGCATAGTTGCTCAAGATACTCCACACGGGGAGCCTCAAAGAAATGGAGTGGTGAAAAGACGTAATCGTACCTTAATGG